TTTGTGAATGTTCATAAGCGGCATTATTCATAACAGCCAAGAAGTAGAGACAGCCCAAATGCCCATCAACAGATAGATGGATTAACAAAATGTGGCAATGGGATATTATTTAGCCTTTAAAATATTTTAAAAAAGAATGAAGTACTGATACATGCTATAACATGAATGAACCTTGAGAACATTATGCTAAGTAAAGGAAGCAGATAAAAGGCCACCACATCGTGTGATCCCATTTATAGGAAATGTCCAGAATAGGCAAATCCATAGAGACAGAAAGTGGACAAGAGGTTGCCAGGAGCTGCGGGAAGGGAAGAACAGAGAGTAAGTGCTAATGGATATGGGCTTCTTTCTTTTTGTTGTGGTAAAATATCTATAACATTAAAAAATGGAAAATAAATATTGGCAAGGATGTGGAGGAATTGGAACCCCTGTGCATTGCTGGCGGGAATGTAAAGCAGCACAACTGCCGTGGACAAGTCTGTCCCTCAGAAGGTTCAACATAGAGCTGCCATATTACGACCCAGCAATCCCACTTCTGGGTACGTACTCCAAAGAATTGACAACAAGGCCTCAAGCAGTGCTTGTTTCCCGATGGTGACAGCAGCATTATTCACAATAGCTAAGAGAGAAGCAGCTCAAATGTTCATCAACAGATGAATGGATAAACAAAATATAATATATACATACAATAGAATATTATGTAGCCTTAAAAAAGAATGACAGTTTAATGTGTGCTACAACATAGATAAACCTTGAGAACATTATGTTAAATGGAAGAAGCAACACAGAAGGATAAATATCGTATGATTCCACTTATACATGGTGTCTGGCTAGAGTACCGTGGCGTCATCATAGCTCACAGCAACCTCAAACTCCTGGGCTCAGGCGATCCTCCTGCCTCAGCCTCCCGAGTACCTGGGTCTACAGGTGTTCGCCACACTTAGCTAATTTTTTTTCTGGTCTTTAACTCCTGAGGTCAAGTGATCTCCCCTCCTTGGCCTCTCAGAGTGCTAGGATTATAGGCATGAGCCACCAGGCCTGGCACATAGTATCTAGAATAGACAAACTCAGAGAGGCAGAAAGTTCGTTTCCAGAGGCTGGGGGGAGGGGAGAATGAGGAGTTACTGTTTAATGGGTACAGAGTTTCTATTTGAGATGGTGAAAAAGTTCCAGAAATGGATAGTAGTGATAGTTGAACAACATTGTGAATGCACTAATGCCACTGAATTGTGTATTTAAAATGGTTAAAATGGTAAATTTTATGTCTATTTTACCACAATAAAAAATAAGCACTCTATAAGTACTTTTCTTTAGAGGTTTCTGTTAACTAGAGAAGGGGAGACTTCTAGAATGAGGGGTCTGGACTCCGGAGCCTTTATCAAAGAGGGACCTTGGGGAGGTTCCTTTTGGGGCTTTTCTATTTAGGTCAGTACTGGGGGGCTTCAGTGACTTCTGTGTCTCAAGCAGGCGCAATTTGGCTCTTGTACTGAGATGGAAAAGATCGTGCTCCTGAGACATTTGTTCATCCCAATTCTTTGTTTCTTTTCTGTAAGGTTGCGGCTATTTCTAATCTCTATCTTTGTGAATCAGAGGTAGTTTACTCTCTAGTATCATTTAACCAAAGAAGTTGTCCCCCCTCTCCCCACCCCCGGTCCATTGGTCTTTCGGAATTTTTTAGCTTGCCTAGTAGCTTAGAGTCTTCTTCCTATGCTGTCATTGAGGGATCATCTGAAAATATTGAGAATATTAGTTCTCCAGCTCCTTGTTTCTGGAGCCCAGGTACAGTCTTCCAGTAGATGTGCCAGTTAAATGAAAAACACTGAGTGTTACCAGAAGAGCCCCTCCTGGTAATGGAGGAGCCCTTGATTCCTGGCCCTGGTGCCCTGTCTGCTGTCCAGCCTGTCTCCCTTCCTGCTGAGCCAAGCCGTGCGGGGCTGTCCCCTCTGCGCCTGCCTCTGCTGCTTCTACCTTGGCACACCTTTTCCATTGCTTCCAGCTAACATGAGCGGAGTGTTCGGTAGCCTGCTCAAGTCTCACCTTGTGCACAAGATCCTTCCCCTTCTCCCTTGAGCTCTCGCTGGACTTTGTGTGAGCTTGTAGAGAATTTGAAGATTATAAAAAGGTAACACAAAGAAAATATATATTATTCATAACCCCCCTCAAAGCATTTCTTCAATGCCTCTTTTGCTCTAGCTGCCTCTTTTTCTCTACCTTTATGTGTATATACTTAATTTTTCAACAGAATTGGGATCGATAGTACAAACAAATTGAGTCCTGTTTTTTTCACTTAACATCATGTTGTAAATAGTTTTCTATCTTTTTGAATATCCTTTGAAAACTCCATTTTAAGTAATTGCAAAATATCACATTGCCTAGCTATATTGTAATTTATGTCATACATTTTCTACTTACGGACACTAAGGATAGTACTGATTTTTTTTTCTCTCATTTAAATAATGCTGTCTTAGACATCCTTAAACTTATTTTTATTTTAAAAATATTTTTCTGTTTACTTCTTTGGGACAGATCACTCTTGAAAGTGTAATTACTGAGTCAAAGGACATGAGGTTTTATAGATTCCTGATGCTTTATGTTTGACTGCTTTCTAGAAAGATTGAACAATTATAACTGGCTTACAAAAAACCACTTTTCTGGGCCAGGCACGGTGGCTCACACCTGTAATCCTAGCACTTTGGGAGGTCAAAGGCAGGAGGATCACTTAAGGCCAGGAGTTTGAGATCAGCCTGAGCAACATAGTGAGATCCCCATCTGTAAAAAAAAAAAAAAAAACCACTTTTCTAATTTAAAAGGGTATATTTTGTTGTGATATTCATCTCTTTAATTATTAGTGAACCTGAATGTGTTATTTATGTTTATTACCTAGAATCTGCTCTGAGTTACCTTTTCATTTATTTTACCCAGTGTCAAGGTGGGATTTTAGTGGTGTGTAAGCTTTTTATATATTAAGGATATTAATCTGTGGCTGACATATTTGTTGCAAATATTTCCCCTAATTTTTCCATTGAATTTTGGCAAGTAATGTATTTGGAAGAACAGAATCATTTTTATATAATACTAATAACTACCATTTATTGAATACTTACCATGTGCTAGGTGTTGAGCAAAACTTTGTGCATGGATTGTCTTTTTTTTTTTGAGACAAAGTCTTGTTCTGTCACCCCAGATAGAGTGCAGTAACATTATCCTAGCTCACTACAACCTCAAACTCTTGGGCTCAAGCAATTCTCCTGCCCCAGCCTCCTGCCTCAGTCTCCTAAGTAGCTGGGACTACAGGCACATGCCACCACTGGCAGCTAATTTTTCTCTTTTGTAGAGATGAGGTGCATGCCACCATACCCAGCTAATTTTTCTATTTTTAGTAGAGACAGGTCTCACTCTTGCTCAGGCTGCTTTTGAACTCCTGAGCTCAAGTGATCCTCCCACCTTGACCCTCAGAGTGCTAGGATTACAGGTATGAGGCACACTGGGCCCAGTGGATTGTCTCATTTAATCTTTGCCATGTCCTCAGTGGAATGGAGCATTTCCCCATATTATATACGAGGATATTGAGGTTCAAGATCCATATAGTCAGTGTTTTAGTCTGTTTTGTGTTGCTATAACATAATGCCACATGCTGGGTAATTTGTAAAGAAATTTATTTGATCATTTGTTAAATTCCATCCAAAAAAAAGAAAGAAAGAAGAAATTTATTTGACTCACAGTTCTGGAGGCTGTGAAGTCCAAGAGCATGGCACTGATGTCTGGGAACGGCCTTCGTGCTTTGTCATCTCATGTCAGAAGGTGGAAAGTCGAGAGACTTTGACATCAAGGAAGGGCAAGAGGGGGCCAGACTCACTTTTATCAAGAACCCATTTCTGTAATAATGGCATTAATCCATTCATGAGGGTGGAGCCATCATGGTCTGGTCACCTCGTAACTATCCTCTTGATTCAAGAAGTATTGTATTAAGAGGTGGAACCTCACAAATGCAATGAAATTTCAACGTGAGTTTTGGAGGAGACATTCAAGCCATAGCAGTCGATAAACAAATGAGCTGGAATATGAATGGATTAACAAACTCATGTCACAGTGCCATGGCTTAGAACTTTGAAATATGCTTGCTTTGTCATGAGAAGAGCTTTAAAGCTATCCAGTTTTATTGTATTATGTTTTAAATGTTTGAATAGGCAATGCAGTCATTGAAAGCATATCAAAAGGAATGCAGTGAAAGTCTCCCTCCCACCGCAGTTCCCTGTTTACCTCCTCCTCACTCCATTCCCACCTCCACTCCAGACACTCATCTTGATAGTATCTTCCGTATGCCCCACACTTTTCTTATGCAGATGCAAGTAAATATGAATATGTATTTTTTTGTTTCCCCATCTCTTTATTTTACACACAAGGTTAAGACCAGTGAGGTTAGGGTATTTGCTTTTGCAAGACTTGGCTATGGTGTATTACAAAATGAATCACTGATTGAATTAATTATCTTTCCTCTTGGAGAGATTCTTCATGCATAGAGTTCAATTTGTTTAGATGGTAATTTCATATTGAAATTGATTTGGGGCCAAACTCCAGCACTGCCAAGTCTTATGTAACCAACAGAAGCTGAGCTTTCAGCCAGCTGCCATATATTGTGAGGAATCAAGCCAGATGACTGTTGCAGATGGTTCTCAAGAAATAAGTTGTCACTCTCAAAGTCTCAGAAATATATACTAACGAGGTTATTATGTGTGGCATGGTCTTAAGAAAACACCCCTTCCTTGAATCATTAGTAAAATACTTCCCAAAATAGTTCATTTCATGAGCTTTCTGTAATGATTTGGCTTAGTGCTCCTCAAGGGTAAAGCTCTGGTGGACCCCAGAGACTCATGGAGGACAAGGGCTGGGAGATGTGTTTATCTTACCACTAATTAAGACTTTCAGAGAGGGCATGTACCCCTCTCCAAGTCACTTATCCCGAGCTTGCTGCTTTTGTTTTGCCTTTGTTTCCCCCCTAGGTACTGGCGGAGGACACTGGGCATGCAGGTCCGCTATGTTCAGCATGAAGACTATCAGTTCTGTTACTCCTCCCGGGGCAGGCCTGGGCACAAGCCCTCCATCCTCATGCTTCACGGATTCTCTGCACACAAGGACATGTGGCTCAGTGTGGTCAAGGTGCAGTTCTAGATTCTTCTCTCTTAGAAGAAAATGATTTCCACTTGGACATGGTGTCCTAGCAGTGGCAGAAAGCAAGGGGAACCCAGAGCTGTGGTTCAAGTCATTTTAAAACTAATGCAGTATGCTGTTCAAATTCTTTTGTCAGAAAAAATTTATTGAGTTGAATATTATTTATAAAACCTATGCCTTAGAAATCTTTCTACCTTAGGAATATTTCTGAGGGGAGGTTTCTGACACAGCTTCATCTCAGAACTGCCATGATGACCAAGATGGGGCTTCTAAAATGTCATTTGTTCTTTCATATTTCCAGTTTCTTCTCTTCCTTCCCCTCCTCCTCCTCTCTTTACTTCTTTTCCTTTTCCCCTTCCCCCTCCTTCTACTGCTTTTCCTTTTCCTTAGGCATTTAGCAAAGCGATCTTGATCTGACAGCTTTCTAGAATAGCTTTCTCCTCCCCTTTGTCTTGGTTTGCTTGGTGTGGCACCTGCTGTGCTTGGTAAGGTGACTGGCAGAGGAAGGCTGGGTTGGCAGGAGTGTTAGGGAAGCAGCCCAGGCTTCCACCTCAGATAAGACCATACCTGAGGGACCCAAGTATCATCTACACTAGCAGGAAAAGGCTCACACATCCTCTAGCTACTTGTGTTCTTATTCCAAATTCCACTATGAGGAGAGTCATCTTCATGCCTTAATGAAGCCCTTACTTCCTGTCCCCAACATAAGCCCCTTTCCTGTAACTAGGTATTTGTCAATAATTTGTGTTTCTCAGTTTCTTGGTTAAAAGTGGTAAATATCTAAATGGAAGAAGGTATTTTAGGATGATAATTATCTCATAGATTACACCTTAATGTAAAAAAAACCCCATGAAAACCAGAATCAGAGTGATCAGACCTGGTTCTTGGGGAAGGCATTGCTCCTGTTGGCTCTGCCTTCTGTCCAGGGCTCTGGGTGACAGAACAATCCCTTCCAGTTCCCCATCAGCAGCCAGATGGAGAAGGAGGTAGCACCTGCCAGCTGGTGTCAAGAAAGAGCAAGAGACTTAAGGCTGCTGCCCTGAGTTTTTCCTTTCTTTCCAGTCATCTTCTGAGCCCCTTTCCATCTGTGTTAGTCTTTGGGGGCCTCTGCTCCTGATGGAGCTGCTGGCAATGCTTGCTCACATTAGTAAGGTAAAACATGGAGTGGTCCAGACCCATCCATCCCCAGGTATGCCATCCAGGTCACTTGGTAAGTGGGGACGACCTCCCCAGAAAGGTGAGCAGACATGTTTTACACACCACATACTGACTCTCTGGATCTCTGTGTCCTCAGTTCCTTCCAAAGAACCTACACCTGGTCTGCGTGGACATGCCAGGACACGAGGGCACCACTCGCTCCTCCCTAGATGACCTGTCCATAGATGGACAAGTCAAGAGGATACGGCAGGTAAGCAGGAGGCTCCACCAAAGGTTTTGCAGGCTGGGTCTCGGCCACCCACCATTTCACACCTAACTCGAGAGCAGGCGTTCCATGCTGACTCATGGCCAGTCTCTAGTACATTCTGTCTACAAGTGATTGCAAACAAAATGGCAGCACGGTGATATCCTTGGTCAGCATGGAAAGCCAGGTCTTATTACAGACTGTTCTGCTCTAAGCCTATTGCAGTTGTTTGTGAAGAAATATAATCTGGGGATTTTCTCAACTCTTTGAAAAGGAGTTTAATATTCCTTAAAACCAGTTCCCTCTCTGGAGATCTATTTTCCTGCTTACCAGCTGCATGATAATGATAGTAGCCCCTCTGCCCAGTTGGGGAAGGTGCTTTTTGTGTTTTATCCTATTTTAGCATCTGTCTCTGGTCCCCTCCGGCCAGGCTTTCGAGGTTATAGGGGTGCACAAGTCATTTCAGAATTTAGTAGCCCATAAGTTTCAGGTTGATTTTATTTTCCCCAGATGAGGATATTTATTTAATATCTGCTTCTCCCATTAAATTATGTATTTTAATGTGGTCAAAAACCTTATCTCTTTGGCTCTTAGCTGTATCTTTAGCAACAAATCCTAGTTTGTTATACATAATAAATAGTCAATAAATATCTTTTAGATGGGTGGATAGGTGGGTGGATGGTTGGTTACATGGCTATTAGATGATTGGTTGTATTAGATGGGTGGATGGTTGAATAGTTATATGAATTGATGGTTGGATGGATGAGAAGGGCTTTAAATTAGGGCCGTAGTCATTGACCTACCACACCCGGGCTATCCTGCCACCTATTCTTGTAAACTAAGCTTTATTGGAACACAGCCACGCTCCTTCCTCTACAAATTGTCTTTGGCTACTTTTGCGCCACGACAGCAGAAATGAGCAAGTGCAGCGTGGATTTACTCTCTGGGCCTTTATAGAGAAGTTAGCTGACTCATTACTTAGGGAAATCCATGTTGGTTTTATACTTATAAATGATCCCTCAATCACTTATGCCAGGTAAAGAGAAGTACATGCACCCCACCGGACCTATCTTGGTAGTGGATCCAGTAGAGTTTCAGACCCTCTTTTATCAATAGCCATTTTCGGTTGTCTATAGGAAGTATGGGGGCGGAGGGTGGTGGTTCTACTCGGTAATCACTGTTGTCATTGTCTACAGCTGTGTAACCAAGCCTGCTTCTCATTTCCTTTTCTAGTTTGTAGAATGCCTCAAGCTGAATAAAAAACCCTTCCACCTGGTAGGCACCTCCATGGGTGGCCACGTAGCAGGGGTGTACGCTGCTTACTACCCATCGGATGTTTCCAGCCTATGTCTCGTGTGCCCTGCTGGTGAGTTCTGAGATTAAAACATCTCCCAGTGAGGATGAATCACTGAAGAAACAAATGGCCACTGTCTGCTATGGATGTTTTTTAGCATCATCTTTTTGACATGTACTTTAGAGATATACGGTATTGACTGATAACTCTATCCAAACAATAGTCATATAATCATAATCATAGCCAGATGGACTTTGAAAATATAGAGCCAGGGCCAGGCATGGTGATGTTTGCCCGTGGCCTCAGGTACTTGGGAGGCTGAGGTGGGAGGATCACTTGAGTTTGAGTCCAGCCTGAGCAACATAGTGAGATCCTGTCTCTAAAAAAAAAAAAAAAAAAAGGATTTTTAAAAATTAAAAATTTGACCAGGTGCGGTGGCTCATGCCTATAATCCTAGCTTTCTGATAATCTGAGGGGGGAGGACCACTTGAGCTCAGGAGTTCAAGACCAGCCTGAAAAAGAGTGAGAACCCAGGTGCTTGGGAGGCTGAGGCAGGAGGACTGCTTGAGCCCAGGAGCTTGAGATTACATTGCAGTGAGCTATAATGACACCACTGCACTCTACCCAGGGTGACAGAGTGAGACTCTGTTTCATTAAAAAATTTAGAAAAGAAAATATAGAGCTAAACTTGTTCTACCAAAAATGTGAGGTAGAACAATTGTAGAGGTAGAACAATTGTAGTCAATTATTAATAAAATGTGTATGGTGTTTTACGGCACATGAACACTTTGAAATATAATGTTAGCCCTAACCTTCAACATTTATTGAGCTTTTCCAGGCTAAGTTCTTTATATGGATTTAATTTTTGCAAAAACCCTATGAGGTAAAGATACTATTATTATGCTCCTCCCCATTTTTGCTGAAAACTCAGATCTTTATTCATTATAATAAGATCTTTAAAAAAATTGACAAGCTTTAGTTTATTCTTATATGTGTACATGTCAACATGAGCTGTAACATGTCTCTATAGATTACAGTCTGAAGTTGGTTTCTTTTTTTTTTTTTTTGAGTCAGAGTTGCCCAGGCTAGAGTGAGTGCTGTGGCATCAGCCTAGCTCACAGCAACCTCAAACTCCTGGGATCAGGCAATCCTCCTGCCTCAGCCTCCAGAGTAGCTGGGACTACAGGCATGCGCCACCATGCCCGGCTAATTTTTTCTATATATTTTTAGTCAGTCAATTAATTTCTTTCTATTTTTAGTAGAGACAGGGTCTCACTCTTGCTCAGTCTGCTCTCTAACTCCTAACCTCCAGTCTCGGCCTCCCAGATTGCTAGGATTATAGGCATGAGCCATCGCACCCGGCCTGAAGTTGGATTTTTAAAATTCATTTTTCTTCCATAAGTCTTCAAACTTGGATTTATAATATGTAATAGATAAAATCTTATTTTCTCTCTTTGTAATTCTCTCTCTCTCCCTCCCTCTCTCCTTGGTACTTTGTTAGTGCGTTATTTACACATAGTAAATTGCCCAAATTTTAAATGTGCATCTTGATGACTTTTTACATATGTAATTACCATCCAGACCAAGATATTATGCCCATTTTATAGGTGGGAACATTGAGGCACAAAGAAATGACATTAGTGCAGAGCCAGGAGAAGAACAAATCCTAGTCTGCCTGGCTCCAAAACCCAAGCTGTGGCTTTTTTGGGAGTCCTTTCCTATTTACTTTTTTTTAGACAGAGTCTCACTCTGTTACCCAGGCTAGAGTGTCGTAGCAACAGCCTAGCTCACAGCAACCTCACACTCCTGACCTCGAGCGATCCTCCAGCCTCGGTCTCCCAGAGTGCTAGGATTACAGGTGTGAGCCACTGTGCTCGCCTTACTATGTCCTCTATATGACTTATATCCACTGCCTCCTTTATGTGATTCAGCTAGAACCTAGCCATGAGTGCACACTTATGTCTTTTACTGAAACTTAACTAAACTGACCCTTAAAATCCTTCTGCTGCTCTGGAAGTTAATAGTTTTCAGATCTGTTAAGGACATTGAAGTAGAAGATAAGCCCATTTGAAATCATTTTATCTTTTAATAATACAGTTTGAGAATTAAAGGAACAGCCCATATGGAAAGTTACTACATTTTAGATCACATATGAGAAGTCAAATCTAACTGGCTTTAAATAAATGTATGTTCATTTGCTCAGAGAATTTTATACCTAGTTTCAAGTGAAAATTTAAGATTAAGTTTGTATGTGAAAATGAAAAAGTAGAAATAAATTCAGGATTATGTCCTACCTAAACTTCTTTTTTTTTTTTTTTTTTTTTGAGACAGAGTCTCACTTTGTTGACCAGGCTAGAGTGAGTGCTGTGGTGTCAGCCTAGCTCACAGCAACCTCAAACTTCTGGGCTCAAGTGATTCTCCTGCCTCAGCCTCCCGACTAGCTGGGACTACAGGCATGCGCCACCATGCCCGGCTAATTTTTTCTATGTATATTAGTTGGCCAATTAATTTCCTTTTTATTTATAGTAGAGACGAGTCTCGCTCTTGCTCAGGCTGGTTTCGAACTCCTGACCTTGACCAATCCGCCCGCCTTGGGCGTCCCAGAGTGCTAGGATTAGCCCTACCTAAACTTCTTAATGAACTTTTTAAAAATTTTGAAATAATTTTAAATTTACAGAAAAGTTGCAGATAAATACAGAGTCCCACCTACCCTTTATCCAGTTTCCCTCATTGTTAACAGCTTACATTACTACAGTAAGTTTGTCATAACCAAGAAACCAACATTCGTACATTACTACCTTGTTTCCCTGAAAATAAGACCCACCCATAAAATAAGCCCTAGCAGGATTTCTAAGCATTTACTCAATAGAAGCCCTACCCTGAAAGTAAGACCTAGTGATGGGCGTGGCTACGCAGTGTGTCTGCACAACCCGTGCATTTCCTTGCAGAGCGGTAAAGAAGATGAGCAGCCCTTCTCACCTGTTCCCTGAGAGCTCTGTTGCTCAACATGAGAGATTGGGGCCAATGATTCTAAAGGAAATAGAGTCGCAAGACATTCAGGATGGAATTCGGGGTTTGGAGAGTTATGATGATGTTCCAGAAGAAGATGACTTCACTATATTTGAATAAATGTAGATGGTTGTACCGTACTTAAAAAACATAACACATCCCCTGAAAATAAGCCCTAGGGTGTCTTCTTGAGGAAAAATAAATATGAGACCCTGTCTTATTTTCGGGGAAACACAGTATTAACAAAGCGCCAGGCTTTCTTTGGATTTCTTATAGGTTTTCCACTAATGTCTTTTCTCTGTTGCAGGATCCAATCCAAGACACCACGTGACATTTAGCCCAAGATTATTTTTAAAAAGAGATGAAATAAGTAATGTAATCTGCTCCATGGCATTGTGAAATCCATATACAATACCTATGCTAGATTTAAAGGGGTCGCTGGGTATAAATTTTTAACGTGGATTTCTGCAGCATGACCAACATCATTGATGCCATTGCCTTTCTTTCTAATATCTAGCTCTTTGGCTAAGTTAAACAACTAGAAATTTGCTCAGTGTTGGAAGTGAAAATGAGTTTTGCCCTCCTATATTGTGTCAACTTCTGTGGATTCTTAAGTCAAGCTCCAGGGTGATAGGAAGTCATGCACAATCTCACAGAGAACCAGCCTCAGCGGCTGCCTGGTGCTCTCCTGGGGGAGGGAGGCTGTGTCGGGGGCAGCTCAGGGGAAGGCTCACAGTCTCCCTGTGTTTTGTGCATTGACCCCAAGTAAGAGAGCACTGAGGGGGTCCAGGCCAAGGGCAGGAGAAGCCAGTCACTCCAGCCCTATGTTTTTAGCCATTGTATATTTCCTCACAACACAGATGTGCTCAGCCTAGCTGTCTTCTAGACTAATGCTTCTTAAGCTCTGTGGTACATACGAATCCCGTGGCAGCTGGGGAAAATGCAAGTTCTGATTCCAGAGGCTTAGGGAGCGGCTGAACGCCTGTGTTTCTTGTGGGCTTCCAGCATGCCCGTCCATGGACCACGGCGTGAGTAACCAGTCTCTGAAATATCTTCAAGCATTTCTTTCTCAAAGTGTGGTTTTGACTTTGAGCAAGGAAGACAGTACCAGTTAAAAGGAAATCTACTTGTGAAAGAAACCTGAAACATATCAGCTCTGAGCTGCTGTTGGAAGTTCCTTACATAAAATGGGAGTTGGTAAGAAGGTAGATGTGGTGTCAAGCCATTTTGGTTTGAATCCTACAGGCCTGCAGTACTCTTCTGATAATCAGTTTGTGCAACGGCTCAAAGAACTGCGGGACTCTGCTGCTGTAGAGAAGATTCCCCTGATCCCGTCCACCCCAGAGGAGATGAGTGAAATGCTCCAGCTCTGCTCGTATGTCCGCTTCAAGGTGCCCCAGCAGGTAATGTGGTCTCAGCAGCGACACACCTGCCCTCCCCCAAGCTCAGGGGCGAGTACCAGCTTCCCTCATGTGTCCCTCCTTCACCTGCTCCTGGACTCCTCCTCTCCCTCTTCCGTGCACTCATTCTACAGGCATCTCTACAGGGCCTGGGACGTGTCGGGCTCTGTGCTGGGCACAGTGGCGAATCAGTAAGACAGGAAGGTCCTGGGTGGACACAGTCCAGTGGGGGAGGCGGGCCTAATGACCTCGTTCTGCATTTGGCTAATACTGAATAATTATGTGATATTTCATCCTGCTCGTGTCTTAAGCTAAGCAGAGAATTTTCAAGATAAAACAGCTATCAGGCCATATCAGGTGTATCTACATAATGTAGGGGACCTCTGGCTTCATGGTGTTACCCTAGTTCATTCCTAATTTAAAGAAAAGCCTCTTCGGAACCTAACTCCCAATTACTTCATATACACATCATGGGGATCAGAGGACCAGGCCCTGAAAGCCTTGACAATGCAATTAGTTGCTGGACTTTATTCCCCTTCGCTGATCCACAGTTGTGAGAGGCCAAGGAAATGAGCCTGCTCTGCCTTCTAACTTTGGGTTCTCTATCCCTAGATCCTGCAAGGCTTGGTGGATGTCCGCATCCCGCATAACAACTTCTACCGAAAGCGTAAGTGGCCCAGCTTGAAGCTTGTCACAAGCGAAGCCTTATAGCTGGCTGGCTTCTCTTTGTTAAATCTCTGACACTTCGAGTGTTTTCTTGGGCCCCTGAAGAAAGACAGTGGTAGCCTGGACTCGGTGACTGTCCCTGGACTCTACGGTGGTGCCCACACTCACTTTGTTTTCCTTTTCTGTTAAGTGTTTTTGGAAATCGTCAATGAGAAGTCCAGATACTCTCTCCATCAGAACATGGACAAGATCAAGGTCCCAACGCAGATCATCTGGGGAAAACAAGACCAGGTAGGTAGCATGTCCCTGTGCCGGTCACCACAGCCTTTGAGGATAAACATCCTTGGGGAAGGGCCAGAGGGCATCGCGGAGTGAGCCTCCCGCTAGTTCTGTTGTCAGGAGAGGTGGACACTCCTGTGTTGGGTGCCAGAGTTTGCAGGGGACATAGTTCTGTGAGTTGAGAGTGACATTTGGTCTGTTAAAATGAAAGGCAATTTAAAATCATTCTTTAAATTTATTTTTATCGAAGGCATATAGTCGCATGGTATAAAAAACTTCAGAGAGGACCAAAAGGTTTATAATGAAAGCTTGGTCTCTTTCACATCCCAAATCCCAACTCCCATTTCCTTGAAGGCATCTCTTATTGTTTTGTGTCTGTTTCTTAAATGTTTTAAGCCGGAGTTTGGCGAGTGTTTTCTGTAAACAGACAGAAGGTTCATATTTTCAGCTTTGTGATCCAGTCTCTGTCACAGCTGCTCAGCTCTGACCTTGCAGTGCAAAAGCAGCCACAGACAATGTGCAAACAAATGGCGTGGCTGTGTTCTGGTGAGCCTTTGTTTACAAAAACAAGCAACGATCCATTGTTTGCCTACTCCTATTCTAAGCACACATATACTGTGTCTATATACCTATGTAAGCTTTTCAACGTGCTGCTTATATTGTTTGGCACCCGGCTTCATATACATATGAAATAATAGATGTGACGTGTATATCTTGGAAGTCATTTCCTATCAGCCCATACAGATCTACTCATTCTATTTTTAAAAATGTTTTATTTTGAAATAATTTCAAACTTAAAGAAAATTTTTAAGATGAGTACAGAGTACCCCTGTGCACCCTTCACCTACATCCATCAATTCTGAACTGTTTATCGAGGTGCAGTCGACACCAAATCCACCAGGGTGCGTCGTCACCACAACCCGGTTGCAGAAACTTCTAGCACCCCCAACATTTCCTCCTGCCCTTTGCAGCTGGTCTTCACTCCCACCTCAGCCCAACACAACCACTGATTTGTTTTCTGTTTCTATAGTTTTGCCTTTTCTAGAAATTTCATGTAAACAGTGTCATACAGTATGTAGTCCTTTTCATCTGGCTCCTTTCGCCCAAGCGTGATGTTTTTGAGGCTCGTCCCTGTTGCACTTGTCAGTGGTCTGCTCCATTTCACTGCAGAGTGTTGTTCCATGGTATGTATGGACCACATCTTAGTTATTAGCAATTTTTTAAAACACTTGCCATGTTGGCTTTATCATTCTCATTTATATGTCTAGAACTATGTATATTTGGAGCATTTGGAGTAGGTTGTTTACATCATGCCCCTCCCCCCGGGACCACCACGCACATTTACTCCTTACAAAAGCATTCTCTCGCACGGCCACATCCCACATTGCACTCTGGAAATTTAACGCGGTGCTTTTATCTAATCTACAGTCCATGTTCCAACTTCACTTGGTTTTATTTGTTTGTTGAGACAGAGTCCCACTGTGTTGCCTGGGCTAGAGTGCCGTGGCGTCAGCCTAGCTCACAGCAACCTCAAACTCCTGGGCTCCAGCGATCCTCTTGCCTCAGCCTCCCAAATAGCTGGAACTGTAGGCATGTGTCACCTTGCGTGGCTAACTTTTTTCTATATATTTTTAGTTTTCCAGCTAATTTCTTTCTATTTTCAGTAGAGACGGGGTCTCGCTCTTGCTCGGGCTGGTTTCAAACTCCTGACCTTGAGCAATCCACCCGCCTCGGCCTCCCAGAGTGCTGGGATTACAGGCGTGAGCCACCGCGCCCGGCTCCAACTTCATCATTTGTTTCAGCAGTGTCCTAGGCAGCGTCCTCCTCCCTCCTGCCATGCTGCTGACCCAAGGGCCAGTCCAAGATCATGTACTAGATGTCACGTCTCTTTGGTCTCCTTTTAGGGAACGATTCCTCAGTCTGCCATAGTCATTCGTGACATTGAGATATTTGAAGAGCACCGGTCAGTTATTTTATCAAATGTGCATCAACTTGAGTTTGTCGGCTGCTTCCTCATGGTGCAGTTCAGACGCTCTGTTCCTGGCAGAACAGCTCGTGAGTGATTAGGCGTCACGTCTTCAGACGCACGATGCCCTTCACTGGTGATGTTAGTTGTGACCCTTTTGGGGTGTTGTCTGTTCCCTACTTGTGGAGCTGCTGTTGTAGTGAGCAGTCTGCGAGAGACACTGAGACCACGCAGTTGTCCTGCGCCTCATCAGACGTTGCCCCTTAGAATTTCCCGCCCATGATGTTTCTTGCCTGAAACAATCTTTTACTTTGTTCTTTTTAGGAGCTGTATTCCATTGTGTGGTTCTGCCACAGTTTATTTAATTAGTGCCCTACTGATGATCACTTAGGTCTCTTCTAGCTATTTGCTAAACAGCACCTCAGTGCACACCGTGTATGTATGTCTGTGGAGTGTGTGAGCATATCTAAAGGGCAGATTCTTCGCTGTTGAATCAGTGGGTCAAAGGGCATGTGCACTTAAAATGTAATAGGTTTTGTCAGGTGGTCCTGTATCAGTTTGCTAGGGCTGCCTAACAAAATACCACAACTGGGTGGTGAAAACAACCTAAATGTGTTGTCTGTGTTCTGGAGGCTGGGAGTCTGAGGTCAAGGTGTGGGCAGGGCTGGTTCCTTCCGAGGCCGCAGGAGAATCTGCTGTGCCTCTCCCCTGGCTTCTGGTGGTTTGCTGGTAATCTTTGGTGCTCCTTGGCTTATCTTAATCTGATCTCTATCTTAATTTTTACCCACACTCTGGGTGTCTGTCTCTGTGTCTAAATTTCCCCTTTTTGTAAGGATGCCAGTCATATTGGATTAGGGGCCCACCCTGCTCCAGTGTGACCTCATCTTAACTGATTATACCTACAGTGTTCCTATTTCCAAATAAGGCCACATTCCGAGATTCTGGGGGTTAGCACTTCAGCATATAGGTTTGGGGGGGCACAATTCAACAGGCCTTCCAAAGAGATACTGATTTACACCCCAGAAGCTCCTTTTTTGTTTATAACTGTGTTTTAGAAATCATATCTTGCTGAAGTTTATGAACTCCTAATGAAATTCTTCGTAAACTTTAAAGTAAAATGAGGCACTAAAAATGGAGCCTTTATTTTTTTTTTATTTTTTTATTTTTTTATTTAACAAGTAACTGCTGGTCTAAAAAATGGAGCCTTTATAAGGCTCACAAGCTAAACAGAATGACAGTGTCTGTTTAAGGGTGTCCAGGAGTCTTGTGCTAATAATTATTATGAGAAAAGAAAATTTGAGAAAAGCTTTCCCATTAGGACAGTTCTTCTAAGGACCCTATGGTGAAAGCCACCATTGTGTGTCCTACCAGGGCTGCTGAAAGCAAAGATGGGAAGTCAGGCTGTGGCCACAGAGGCCCACAGGTGAGTGGACAGCCCAGCCAGGAGGGACTAGGGAGGAGAAGCTGGCGTGTGCCCACGGCATGTGGGGAGGTAGGGGTTATGGCGTCTCAGACCAGCCGGGCATGGCTGAGGACACGTGGTGCAGAAACGTGGACGGGGACAGGAGGGTCTCATGGGCTCCCTTCCGCAGCAGCCCAGAGACTATCAATACAAGAAGCCTGTGTGCTTGAGCTCCACACTAAGCCAGAGGGAGTCATGTGATCAAAAACCACAGCCAGAACAATGAAGGCCTCTTGCCATTCTGAAATCCCCAGAGGTGACTGGGGCCCTTGGGGACTGACAGCGAGAGGTCACATCCATCCTTCCATGGGGACAGTGCAGAGTAAGAGCACTGCCACAGAGTGTGCAAGTCCGAGTTCCAGCCCTGCCCTTGCCTGTAGCAGCCTGTGGCCTTGAGCAATCACTAAGCCCACAGTAAAGAGGTTTCTCTTTACTGTGTGGGTTGTTCACGTGAGAGAATGTGTGTGAAATTGATCTTTCTCCAGTTATCCAAATATAGGTGATTAGGTTATCTAATATTAGATTATTTTGTACATGTCTTTTGCCTCTGATAGCTGGCCTCAGCCCATGGTCTAGAATTTTCTTCCATACTCTGAAGTCCATTTTGTTCTAGGAAAAGAACCTAATATTCTGTGGGGTACTATAAATATGATCAGATCCTTTTTTTTTTTTTTGAGACAGAGTCTTGCTTTATTGCCCAGGCTAGAGTGAATGCCATGGCGTCAGCCTAGTTCACAGCAACCTCCAACTCCTGGGCTCAAGCAATCCTGCTGCCTCAGCCTCCCGACTAGCTGGGACTACAGGCATGCACCACCATGCCCGGCAAATTTTTTCTATATATATATTAGTTGGCCAATTAATTTCTTTCTATTTATGGTAGAGACGGGGTCTTGCTCTTTCTCAGGCTGGTTTTGAACTCCTGACGTTGAGCAATCTGCCCGCCTCGGCCTCCCAGAGTGCTAGGATTACAGGTGTGAGCCACAGTGCTTGGCCAAAGATCCTTTTTATGTTTTGTGGACTATGCCTGGGGCAGAGGCCAAGTAGCAGAGTCCTTTATTTCATGGCCTTTTGCTTCCTAAGCTCTCTGGCTCTTTTTCTTCTTTGTCATCCACATTTGGTATCACAGTACCTGCCTCTGCCAGGCTGAATTCAGCCTCCGCCTTCTTTCAACCCCTGTAGGCCGGCTGCTGTGCTGCACAGGCACAAGGGGAGCCCTATGCATTGTTATCTATGTGAATGATATCCCCAGGATTTGGGCAGTATACAACCTGCAGAACTGAACCTGGTGGCCCTTCCTGAGAGGGTTTCTGCACATCAGTTCATGCATCTCTCCTCTATGTTCAGTCTACCAGAGTGGGAGGGCCGTGTGGAGGTAGATAAGGTCTATGACTCTTTATGTCCCTTCTCCTTGCCAGCACAGTGCCTGGTTTGCAGGAGACCCATAGTACACAGTGAGTGAGCAAGCAAGTAAGAAAGTGAATGAACAATCCAACCAGTGAAAGGACAAACCCAACTGATGCCCATATGTTTAAGTACATTAACAGGTACTTATTGAGCACCTAGTATGTGCCTGATGGTGTATTAGGCCCTAAGGATACAGTAGGGACCAAGACATCCAGGATCCCTTCTCTCCAGCACCTTATGATCTACCTGCCACTGCGGTGCACTGTAGGGCTGGGGCTAGGGGAAGGTGGGAGAGATATATCATGCAAGTGTAGGGTTGGATCCTATTTGTGTTTATAATTTTGATATTTTGTCCATTATGCATCTTTTTGCCTTAATGCTTATTTTAAAAAAATACTGCATTAGAATATTTTTCATCTTGATTGCTTCAGTTTTTTGGTGCCCACTTAAATTCTGTGTCCCAGGTAACTATCTTATTTGCCTCAATCTCATCCCGGCCCTTGCCTGAAATGGGATGCAAGAAAAGAAAGGGTTTTTTTTGTTTTTTTTTATACCATCAAGGCTCTAGTAACCAAAACAGAAAAGAAAGTTTTTGACTATTTATATGACTATCCTGTCCAAGAAATAGCTGCTATGGTTCCCACAGATACACATGTCTCATCAGGGCACATTCAGCGACTTCACATGCCTCTAGTGACCATGGAGAACATGGGATTTGTAGTGCTGACCAGCACAAGAATGCCAGAGCCAGAAGCTCACATGGGTATTTTTGCCTATGAGCTATGGTTTCTCATCTCTCTGTAGGTATACACTCAGCTATGAGTTTCTGCTTTATCACGCTTTTTTCACCTGTTGACGCCATCCGCGTTTTCTCTGGTAGCTGGGCTTTCTTCCTGCTCAGTTGCCATAGCAGCCTTGCCTGGGAATGAGTGACAGGCAGAGGTTTCCGATTCCTTAGCTGGGTGCTCCCCTCTTGCTAAGCTCCCGGTTAGCTGTTCCCTGTCCTGGTCCAGGCGTGCCCTGCAGTGCTCTGCTCCTTACCTGAGACATTCTGCTCACTCAGCTTCCAAGTGGGTGAAAAATCTTGGGTTTAATGATCTGTGTTGATGAGAATAAAGGTCAAAACCAGAAGGTGTTTGAGCATAATTAGGGCTTTTGCTTTTGCCATTAAGGATGGAGAGGGGCCCTCTCATCTGGGATGAGTTGAAGGTGAAGGTGATTGAGAGAAGGGGAGTGGCTGCAAACCCTCCTCTGAGGGGGATGCTTGGAAAAGATGAAGCTGGATTAGGGTTAGAGCTGGTGACCCAGATGGAAATGAAAGTACATGAGTCGTGGTAGCCCTGGAAAAGTGCTGGCTTCCATGTTGTAACACCATTCCTTGTTATCCACAAACTTCAGGGCTGGGTCACACAACTCTGGGGATCCCCAAAGGACCTTCAAAGAGCTGCCCACCTCCAAGCTTATGATAATTAGCGTTTACCTCTCGAGTTGTCTTCTTGTGTCCTTCCCGCAGCTTGGGCTGCCCTGCTGCGGCCGCGGGCTGGCTCTCTCCAGCCTGTGCTGCCCACGTCCCCATGTGGCTGGGGTGGCAGCCCCTCCTCCCTGCTCCTTCTCTGCACCTGCCACGTCTCGGCGCACGCGCTCCTTGCCGTCCCTGCACTTGCCATGGCCTCCCACCCACGCTGCCTTCTTCCACGGACACTGCTTCTCTGTGCCCCCCAGGACTCAGGAACGATGTCTTCCTTCCCCACCGCACTCTCTCAGCTCCCAGGGTCCTCCCCCAGGAGAGTCCTTGTCACACTGCGGTGCATTTGTCTCTTGACCTGTCTGGCTTTGCCCCCAGACCATAACCTACCTCCTCAAGGGCAGGGGACATGTGTTTTCCACCTCAGTGTTGCTAGCAGAGAGCCACAAGCCCCAACACCAATGTGACTTGGTCCTGAAGTTTGCCGTCCCCCCACCCCACCCCCGCCCCGGTCCTCAGTGGGAGCCCTGTCCCTGGCGTGCGCAGTCGGCATCTGAGTCTCCGTGTGTCATCTAGCTCCTGCTCTTGCCCGCAGGTGCTTGACGTGTCCGGGGCCGACATGTTGGCCAAGTCAATTGCTAACTGCCAGGTGGAACTTCTAGAAAACTGTGGGCACTCAGTGGTGATGGAGAGACCCAGGAAGACAGCCAAGCTCATCATCGACTTTTTAGCTTCTGTGCACAACACAGACAACAACAAGAAGCTGGACTGAGGTGCCGACTGCAGTCTGCGTTCGGCACACGGCATCCGCCCCCATCCCCGAACCCGACACGGCCACCACTCTCAGGGATCCTGCCCCAAATGCGGTCGGAGTGCCAGTGTCCCTGAGGAAGCCAGTCCCCTCTCCCTGGTAGCCACAGTTTCACAGAGCTTCAGGGGCCACAAGAAAATCTCCAAGATCTTTATTCACAAAATGGAAACTCATATGGAACAAGATAAGAAAACCCAGCCACGAAATCTACTGAGAAGTCTTCAAGTTCATGTCGTTGACAAGCTCGTGCAAAACAGCCACTTTGGACCATGATCACTGAGGACATTTTCTTTAAGACACAGCAAAGGCTGACACTGGATATTTTTGTTGCTTCAAATCTATTCCCTTGCATGGTCAGTGGCTTTTATAGAAGCATTAGTCCCCATTTGCTGAACCCTGTTGTGCAAGTCTAATTTAAGTTTTACATAGAGACCCCATGTGAATGTAGCCTGTCAGCTGCAAGACCAGGGAGGGAAATGGCAAGCTGCAGGACGTGCACACACGTGGAGGGCCGTGGTCCCGCCTCGGCCAGCCCTCGGAACTGCAGGAGCAGCAGAGCACACAGGCGGGTGGTTTGTTGGGCACCCACAAGTCGGGTATGGTGTGAGCGAACTCAGAACAGTCACAGAATGAAGAACACCTGGCAGGGTGGGGTTTCCGAGGAATAATTTATTATTTTTGAAAATAGAACTAATAAAGCAATAATGTTCTAGACATGTATCTAAATAATCAGACTCAGGTTCCACACCCAAGCAACACCTTGTGGGCCTCTTTTCTATTCTGCTATGCTACTGAAACCCTTGGACGTAAAATACCCATTTTTTAAATGAATTCCGTGAATTCTGTGAACAGTAATTGAAAATAATTCTAAACAGCTGTAAAAATAACCACAATGACATGAAATAAATTTAGTAAGTCTAGATCAGCAACATGCGGGCGGTTTCTATTTCTGAGCTCCTAATTAAATGTGATGTTGGCAGATTTTCTCTTAACTTTAAAATGTGTGTGTTTTTTTTTTTTTTTGAGACAGAGTTTTGCTTTGTTGCCCAGGCTAGAGTGAGTGCCGTGGCGTCAGCCTAGCTCACAGCAACCTCAAACTCCTGGGCTCAAGTGATCCTCCTGCCTCAGCCTCCCGAGTAGCTGGGACTACAGGCATGCACCACCATGCCCGGCTAATTTTTTCTGTATATATTAGTTGGCCAGTTAATTTCTTTCTATTTACAGTAGAGACGGCGTCTCGCTCTTGCTCAGGCTGGTTTTTTTTTTTTTTTTTGAGACAGAGTCTCACTTTGTTGCCTAGGCTAGAGTGAGTGCCGTGGCGTCAACCTAGCTCACAGCAACCTCAGACTCCTGGGCTCAAGCGATCCTTCTGTCTCAGCCTCCCAAGTAGCTGGGACTACAGGCATGCGCCACCATGCCCGGCTAATTTTTTCTATATATATTAGTTGGCCAATTAGTTTCTTTCTATTTATAGTAGAGACGGGTCTCGCTCTTGCTCAGGCTGGTTTTGAACTCCCGACCTCGAGCAATCCGCCCGCCTCGGCCTCCCAGAGAGCTAGGATTACAGGTGTGAGCCACCGCGCCCGGCCCTCAGGCTGGTTTTGAACTCCTGATCTTGAGCAATCCGCCCGCCTCGGCCTCCCAGAGTGCTAGGTAAAATGTGTGTTTTAAAGTAAGGCTTATCCTGCAGGCTTTGGAAATCTTTGCACAGATGATTTATTAGTTTCATTTTAAGAAATCACATTTATAGTTTTTTTTTGTTTGTTTGTTTTTAGACAGTGTCTCACTTTGTTGCCCAGGCTAGAGTGAGTGCCGTGGCGTCAGCCTGGCTCACAGCAACCTCAATCTCCTGGGCTCAGCGATCCTCCTGCCTCAGCCTCCCGAGTAGCTGGGACTACAGGCCTGCGCCAACATGCCCGGTTAATTTTTTTTTGTACATATATTTTAGTTGGTCAATTAATTTCTTTCTATTTTTGGTAGAGACAGGGTAGAGACAGGTAGAGACCAGCTCAGGCTGGTTTCGAACTCCTGACCTTGAGCAATCCGCCCGCCTCGGCCTCCCAAAGTGCTAGGATTACAGGCGTGAGCCACCGCGCCCGGCCTACGTTTGTAGTTTTTATTCAATTGAAATTGTATATCAGAAACAAAAGGCAGGAGTCATCAAACTGTTCCTTTTGATTCTCTTCTGTTGCATTTAGGAGCCCAAATTCCTCTGGAGCTTTATTCTTTTAGATCTTTCTACAGAGAGTCTATAGCCAAGCAGTTCTGGGAATAAAGTGAGATAAACTTTATAGTTTAAGTTGGAATTCGGGACTTGGTTTGAATGTTTTTAATCTGTCAGAGAAGAATGGAATATAGATCTTAAAAATAGGAAGATATGAAAACATGACATCAAACTTGTGGGGCGCTGCAAAAGCCATGCTCAGAAAGAAATATATGGGCCAAATACATTTGTTGGAAAAGAAGAAAGGCTGAAAATTGAAAAATTAAGCTTCTAGCTCAAGAAGCTAAAAATGAGTAGTAAATCAAAGCAGAGAAAAGTAAAGCAATACAGATGAAAACAAAATCAGTGACACAGAAAAGAAAGTAGATACTAGACATTTTACTTGTTCCAATTTCCTATGTTTACCAAGAATTCAGAGCAAGAGTGGTGGTGTGGGGTGGGGGGGGGTTAGTCTTGGTGGGTCTGGGTGGTGACAGATGGTTTTCCTGGTATCACTGGAAAAGCGCAGGCCTGGAACAAGCACCTCAGACCAGAAACCCTGCTTGACACAGGAATTTTATGCTCTGGGCTAAATACCAGCTAAGGCCCACAGCTCCTGCAGTGTGCCCACAGTGGCGCCATGTGCGCAGGACAGTGGCAGGTCTGCGGCAGGTCACAGCCCACACCTGCCATCACCAGAAAGCACTGACTAGATGTCGTGAACAGAGAATAGGAAAGAGTTGTTTTTGAAGAGCCTATAAAATGGGTTTCCAGGTTCTCCCTTAGCCCTGCAATTCTGACCCCAGTGTGATGGGAAGACCCTTGCATCCCACTTCCTGCCTTTGGGATTATAACAGGCCTGCTGGTTATTGCCAGCTCCATGTGGCCCTGTGGTATGTGCCTTTGGTGACAATCCAAAGAAGAAAGGGGCCATTCATCACAGCACTCCCTGTAAAGAATGCCAGAAACTTCTGACGTCACAGTGGAAAGCCCCAGGAATCAGGTGGGTTCTTGATCCCACTGCCTGGAGGTGGCAGCTTCAGGCTGGGGTGGATGGACCCTCGTGGTCAGGTGTTGAAGGGGCTGAGGGACAAGCAGTGGTTTGAACTCAGTTTGTAATCAGTCTGGCCTCCTTGTCCTGGACAGGTGACACCAGGAGTGGATATAACAAATGCGTCAGTTTGACGGTACTGCCCATGTGTGCACGTCTGTACCTTTCATTTCAGCCCTGCTGAGTATTCCCCATCCCAGAAAACCTGATTTGTTGCTTTGCCCAGAGGAAGTTTTCAGAAAATACTGGGGAACTAGAATGTATGTCAGGCCTGGTGCCAGGCCCAAATCTAACTATGTGCTGAGGGCTATTCTAAGTGTTTTCCATGCATCACCTTAGGAAGCTCTCATGCGCCCTAAGTAAAACACTGCCCATTTTATAGCAAAAGAAACCCGAGGTATGGAGAGGTGACGTCTCTTGCCCGAGAGGTGATGGTCTCTTATCTCTTCCCTCTACTTGCTAGCTTGACACACAGCTAGCAAGTAGAGGAAGCCTCTTGGTTTATAATTGAAGGCGACTTGCAAAAACGATGCTTTTACCTGTTTAGTCAGGAGCTCTCTGACCCACCTTACCAGTCGGCTTGCTTGGGCCCTGTTGGCTCACCTGGGACCAGGCCAGTGTGTGGCACTTTCAGCCACAGATTGCTGAGGCCACGCCTCCCGGCTTGGGCCCCTGTTGAGGAAGGTGACTCAGTGTTCATTCTTAGTTAAGGGACTCCCATTGCCCAGCCTCTTGCTGGGCAGGAAGCAGACTCACCTGGATTCCAACCTCGTTCTGCTAAGGCACATCCAGGACAGCTTGCCTTCCTCATTCCAGCCTCTTTAATAACCAGGACTGGTGTCTCACCCACGCTGGAAGAACTCGTTCACCTTGCTGGTACCCTACCTGCTCCCCCATATTCTGCAAGTGATAGTGTTGAGTTTGTCCAAAGCAATACTCTGCTTTGGGAGAAGTCTCAATGCAGTCTCACTGCCTCTCTGGGATCAGGCATGGGAGGCAGTCACGAGATGTGACCCACTGCTGGCTGCCACTTCAGAGCCAGCCCTGAGGCTCTGCTGGGGTCAGCCCAGGCACCCTGAGAGGGATTACTTACTGACCAGGGTCTTTCCCTGACTGAAGACAAATTTTGGGTCTTCATTTTATATAAAGGCTGAATTTAGGCCCCTTTACTTACTTTGCAAGTCCTGGATATGGGCCTCAGGGTCATGAGTTGGTTAGTAATTAACATCGCTCTAAAATGATGGATGCAGGTTTTAACATCTGCAGGTACCAGCTTTCTGCTTTGGGTGACTTCCTTGTAGTAGACTGAGAAATCTTTTATTAAAAATGGCAATTCAGTGGGAAATGTGTTTGTTGATATACTCTTTGTCTAGATTTGGATTTTTTTAAAGCTTTCCTGGTTGGAGTCTTTGTCTCCTTCTTTCACTGCTGCCCCACCCTCTCTGTTTCATCACTTATCTGTCTCCCATCTGCACGTCTGCCTGTCTCTCACACACAGGCACACACAGACCCTCTCCCCGGCAGCTGGAAGCCTGGCTCTTCTGAGTCATCACCTTTTCTCCCTCTCAGCATCACTCCTTTAACCAGAAACTGGGCCTTCTCGTCAGCCATTTTTCCCTCCTCAGCACCCAGCTTAGGTGCTGTTCTTACAACTCCTCCATCTCCTGAAAGAAGGCAAAAAAGTAGAAGGGGTGGTGGTCACAGATCGGGCAGTGGAGGTGTCCTCAGATTACCTGCCAAGGTCAGAACCAGAGGGGGAGGGTCCTGGGGCTGCTGATTCCATTTCCTCTGGGGCCCGGTGTCACTGCTCTCTGGGCTGGTGACAACAGGGTGTGGGCTTGGGGTTGCCTGTGCCCGTGGTGGGACGAGAGTCTCAAGCGACCGTCATCAGCCTCGTCTGAGTGACGGAAAGGACATCTGACTGCCTGGCTCTCTCTGCAACAGGACAGTCCCCTCTCTTGGCTCCTGGAAGGACCTTCCCTTTATTGGTTTCTGGATCTTTGGTCTTTAAATCCTCAGGGCAATGAACAGGAATGTTAGGCCACACCCAGAAGGCCAGGAACTCCAGCAGGGGATGGAAGAATGAAGGATTTTTAGGGGCAGCAAGTGGCACTAAGGGGACAATCCCAAGGACCCAAGGCCAAAGTTGGCTGCAGAGCAGGTTGCTTGCTTGCTTTTTTTTTTTTTTTGAGACAAAGTCTCAACTCTGTTACCCAGGGCCGTGGCGTCAGCTTAGCTCACAGCAACCTCAAAATCCTGGGCTCAAGCAATCCTCCTGCCTCAGCCTCCCGAGCAGCTGGGACTACAGGCATGTGCCATCATGCCCCGCTAATTCTTTTTTCCTATTTTTAGTTGTTTGGCTAATTTCTTTCTATTTTTAGTAGAGATGGGGTCTCACTCTTGCGCAGGCTGGTCTTGAACTTGTGATCCCAAGCAGTGCACCCGCCTCGCCCTCCCAGAGTGCTAGGATCACAGGCGTGAGCCACCACACCACACCATACAGGCGTGAGCCAGCTGGGAGCAAGGCAGCGGCCAAGGCATTGACGTGCGCACAGGGCCACAATCCCTCATCAAAGCCCTGGGGCCAGATGTCATTCGAATTCAAAACTGTTCCGATCTAGAAAGTTATCTTGGGGTGTGCACCATATCTCAGCAGCACCCTCAGTGGGGTTAGGGGCCACCACACGTGATCAGATAAACGCATCTGAATTTCCTCTGTGCAACACGGGCATGTCCACAGTGAGTGGAACAAAAGCTGCAAATGGCTCACTTGGGTTTGGATTAAGCTTTGGTGCCAGACAAAGAGATTTGGGCTCAAGAATTTTTTCAGGTTTCAGGATTGCAGATGTGGGATGGCAGCCTGCGTTCCAGGTCAGCTGTCCTGAGCAGGGTGGCCGCGTCCGGAGGAGGGCCGATGGGTGTGGCCCACAGCTCCCTCTTGTGCTCACTGGAAGCAGCAGGTCCTGATTTTTATTTAATAATTATTAGTGTTACAAAAATGGTCACTTTAAAATAAATAAAACAAAAATAATGCTTTTAAAAAGTGAGAGTCTCCTACACCCTCCACACAGCCCTGCCCTTCCCCCATTGGCCCACTGGGATTTCTTTGCACAGGTACATAGATACACACGTACGTGCAAACAGAGAGGACCTTCAGGTTGGTTTTGTGGATTTTTTTTACATAAATGGAGTCACACTAGACGTTACTGTTGGCCAACCCTTGCCCTTCTCTTTTTACTCACCTCTATGTCTTTGGGCTCTTCTAGGTCCAAACCCACAGATCCCCCAGGTTCCAATAAGGGGGATGCAGACTCCTCTAGAGGAAGTTGGAGGGGGAAGGTGTGAACCTTGGTAGAGGCCCCTCTGAACCCTTAGGAGGGGAGCTCTGAATTTCAAGAAAGGATTTCAGGCGCCTCCAGAAACAGGCTGCTTAATGAAAAGGTGGTTATCCCTTCTCCAATTTTCCCTTCCTAGGGTCCCAGGGGCTTTTTTTAGGGGGAAAGCTTTCTAAGGTCACTTCTAAGGAAGGTTTCCTCCATCGTTTAAATACATTCCAGAAATGCTGGATGAGACAAACAGCTTGGCTGCAGCTCCACCCAGACAAGCAGTGGAGTGGCTGAAGGAGCAGAGACAAGCTCCCATGGCAGCTGGGAGAGGGGTGGGTGCTGAGGCAGGGGACAGGCCATCTTGCTGCTCCCTAGGTGGTGGGAGTGGTTTGGACTTGACATCTAGGCAGGAACTTCTAGTCATTATCTGGCGAGCTGTCCCAGAGGGCCTGCCTGCACTGGGCACTGCTGCACCCGTGCCCCACCTGCTGTGAGTGTCGGCCACTGATGGCTTACAGAGAACTACCCTCAGATGACTGTGGATGCCTGAGAGGCTGGAGCTCATTCTCCTCTTACCTCCCAGGGTTGCCAGATAAAATACAGGATGCCCAGTTAAATTTTAATTTCAGATAAACAATGAGTGCTTTTTTAGTATAAGGATGTCCCATTCATTGTTTATCTGAAACTCAAATTTAACTGGACTCCCTCTATTTTTATCTGCTAAATGTGGCAACCCTATAGCTTGCAGCCAGTGACTGAGGAGTCCTTGTCTCAAAGACTGGAAAAGACTTCTGGTGTCATTTGTGTTCCAGGACTCCCTGTGGGATTCCCCTGACACTGGACTCAGCCAAACCCACATCTTTGCTTGGCTTCTTCCCCTGCCCTGGCCTGCTTCCCTCTCCCCTTACAGGTTTCACTTGAGAGCTGACCCCTAATAAATCACTTCCACAAGGGTCCTGGTCTCAGGCTTGGCTTCCAAGCCCTCTAAAGCCTGCGTTTCAGAGTTTCTCAAGAAGATGCTCAGAGTCGCCCCAGGGGAGCCGCTCCCAGCCTCCTCTTGCACAAGGGAGGGATGGAATACAGCTTCTTAGGTTCTGGAGCCTCTCACCACCTTAGACAAATGACTTAACCACTTAGAGCTTCATTTTCTTCATCCGTGAAAGGGGGTGATAATAGTGACATTTCATTGTTGATGGGAGAATGGGAGCTATCTGACACTTGGCAGGCCTCCCTAAATGGAAACAATAGCTGCAGTTCCAAAGCTTTTAACCTCTGATCATTTTCACTTTTTTCTTCCTACTTTCACAATTTGCTGACATAGGAGGATGTAATTTCCATTAAATCAATGGAGAATTGTGAGTCTGGGATCCCACTTAGGCCCATCTTTTGCCTTTTCTTCCCCAAGTTGAGAAAATTCCTCAACTTCAGCAAAATCCATTTTGCACCAGTAAGCAAGGAAGCAAGGAGAGCCACAGAGCAGAGAAGTGTGGATTTAATTCTTTCTTGCCTGCCAGACCTTTTAGGAACTTAAAATACCCACAGACCTGCCCAATAACTTTGCTTGGAAATACAGAGACACAGAGGGTGTCCTGAATGGTCTCCTCAAGAGCCAACTGACTCCACCCAAGGCAGTGCAGAGCAACTTTTAGAAAGACTGAGGCAGGCTTGTGTGTGCTGATTTGGAGTGACGTTTAGCTATATCATCAAGAGAAAAAAGCCCGCATATTGTATCTCTGGGAGGACCCTTCAGGAACTCACATCAGTGGTTGCCTGCAAAGGGGAGAGGCAGGCTGGGGAGGGTGACTCACTTCTCCTGCTTTATTCCTTTGTATCATTCGAATGTATGCCATAGCCTATGGTACCTATTCAAAAAATAAAATTTTGTTGAAAAACAAAAGTCAACCAACTATGTCTTTATCATTCAAAAGCATCTTTTATCTTCAGCTCTGGATTAATAAGACAGCACTGAAAGAATTCTGGCAACTGGGAAGGCACTTCATTTCCAAGGTTTAGAGCAGGACAGTGAAAATTACCCAAAGATCTTTGGAGTCCAAAATGCAGGAACTGCTAGAACTTGAGGATAGGTGGTCAAAAACAAACAAAAACACCCAAATGCATGAGCTGCTCTGGTCTCTGGGCCACAGCCTGGCAGAATGGGTTTGCCAGGCACCTAGCTTAGGGCGACTCTCTCCCATTACTGTTTTCTGGGTGCCAGGCACTTTATACCTTCAACTATTTTTTTTCCTCACAACTCTGTGAGGTAGATGCTAATAATCTCTCCAGATGAAAGATGAGGGAGCTGGATAAGTAGCAAAGGATGGATTCGAAGCAAGTTCTAGCAGCTTCTGAAATCAAGCTTTTTTGAGAAAGAAAATATCTCTGTCTGCAGCATCTGTGTTGATTTCCTTTACTTCTTCCCCATCTGGGACACACCCTGTCTTCTCTGAGGAAAGAACAAAGGGAAGCAGGAGGAGCCATAGGACTGAAAAGCATGGTCAAGGCCAAGGACGGAAGCTTCCAGAAACAGCAGACAATGCGATTTTGAGAAAGGAAATGAGGGAGAAGGTACCTGCTCACCCAGGCTCAGACTTTGCTGTGCAAGGCAACCCTTTGCCCCTTAACCCAAGCAGAATAAGCACTTCCATTTATGAATTAATACATTCAGTAAGTACTGTGTTTGCCCAAAAATAAGACAGGGTCTTGTATTTATTTTCCTCAAGAAGACATCCTAGGGCTTATTTTCAGGGGATGTGTTATTTTTTTTTAAGTACGGTACAAGAATCTACATTTATTCAAATATAGTGAAGTCGTCTTCTTCTGGAACATCATCATCACTCTCCAAACGCTGAATTCCATCCTGAATGTCTTGGGACTCTGTTTCCTTTAGAACCACTGGGCCCGATCTCTCATGTCGAGCAATAGAGCTCTCACGGGGAAGATGAGAAGGGCTGCTGGTCTTCTTTACCCCTCCGCAAGGAAATGCACGGGTTGTGCAGATGCGCTGCGTAGCCACACCCATCACTAGGTCTTATTTTCGGGGTAGAGCTTATATTGTGCAAATGCTTAGAAATCCTGCTAGGGCTTACTTTATGGGTAGGTCTTATTTTTGGGGAAACACGGTAGGTGTCGAGTGAATGCTGGGGCCCAGGCCCTGGAATGCAGTGGCAAATCAACACTGGCGAGCCACTCTGCATGGGGCTCACACTCGAGGTTTTCCTGCCCAGCCCTTCAGCTGGTAGTAATATGGTGCAGGTGGAGAGCACTGGCTAGAATCAGACAGCCCATTCCACTACTTATAACTGCGTGATCTTGGGCAAATAACTTAGCCTCTCTGTGCTTCAGATTCCACCTCTGTAAAATGGGGATGATCGTAATAACAGCTACCTCATGATTGTGTGAGGGTTCCATGAGATACATGTAAAAGTTTTTGCACAATGCCTAGCACAAAGTGAGCACTTAATAAATATTAGCTACCATTACTATTATTGTTAAATAGACACACTATATATTTCTTGGGTGCGGGGGATATATCTTGTTCTTAACTGAGTTTCCAGCACCTAGAATAGTGCCTAGCACATAAAAGGTGCTCAAAGTACTTAGTGAATATATGTACAGACAAAACTTGGCTTACATTTGGAAATAGGACCAGGTGGGCCTTTTCATGTCAACCCAGATAGAACACCTACTATGTGCTGGGAGCCAAAAGGGACATTGAGAGTAGGTCCTGCCCTTGGGGCATGCCTGACATGGGAGATGTTCAGAAGAGGAAATGCTATAAATAAATGTGTTGAATGAATGCATGCATGAAGAAATGAATGACTCTCCAGGGCCAAATAAACACGCCCCTAACCTGCACCCTATGCCGACAATTGCACACACGGCTTTCTGCGGAGCGGGCACCAGAGGGCGCTGAGCTCGGCCGGTTTCAGCTCCTGATCAGGATTCACTCCTGGATTCGAAAGAGGACGCCGCGCGGTGACGTCATATCCGTCCGAACGTCACGCAGCGGGGGGCGGGATAGGGGGGAAGCCAAACGTAATCATACCAGGAGTTTCCCGGCCCCGGGCTGTGGCCACTGCGGGGGGGCTCCAAATGTTGGCACATCATTGCTGCGAACAGGAGTGAGGGGAGGCGTCAGATTGTCCGACAGAGAGCGGATAGGCGGAAGCCCAGAGGAGAGCGGCGATTTTCCGGGAGCGGTCTCAGTCGGCCGCGCTGGTGTCCCGGGCACGCATGCGCAAGGCGGGAGCGCCGGGGCGGGCGGGCGGTGCGGGGCGGTCTGGGTTACCTCTCCGCCCCGGCGGAAGACGGCGTGCGCCTCTGCGGTGTGCGGTCTGGGTCGCGGAGGGTGGCGGTGAGGACTGCGCGGGACTGCGGACCGCGTATTGAGCGCGCTGCATGCGCCAGGCGTGAGGTGGGCGATAAGTCAGTGGCGGCCATTAGCCGAAAAAAGTTGACAACAACCCAAGTGCCCGACAGTAGGGGATTGGGCTTTTTAAATTACTGACTTAGCTCAATAATTGTATGTTGAGCGCTTCTCTGTGTGCGACGCTTCGGTTTAGGTCCTTGGGCAACAGCAGAGAACCAGACCTCTGTGTCTTGCGGACGCCTGCCGGGGCGGGGCGCGGGGGCGCGGTGAAGCGTGGGTTACGCAGCTGTGTGAGAAGGCGGCGGATTCTTTGAGAAAGGAGAGTAGGGGACTAGAGCTGACGCCTGGCGTGCGAAAAAGAGCTAGGAGGCCTGTGTGGTGGAGGGGATGAGCACAGGGACAATGGCATGACGTGCGGTCAAGCTGCGGGGAGAGCAGCGGTGCAGGTAGGTAGAGCCTTGCAGGCTGCCTAATGACTTTGGCCTTACTTAGGGTAAAACGGGACACATTGCAAGGTTTTGAGCAGAGGAATTAATGCAGCTTGAGTAGATTTTAACAGGCTCACTGGCAGGTGTAGAGAATAGGTTGAGAAGGGAACTAAGGGTGGAAGTAGAGACGTTCGTTATTAAAAACTGCGCATCTTGCAGCCACAAAAAAGGCGGACTTCAAAGAGGATGATGACAGTAACTGCATGGATCATATTTTGTGGTAAGCGTGATGAATATACCAGGCTGTAGAGAGCGTTTCTCAGGCATCATCTCCTTTAATGTTAGAACAGCCTGCAGAGGGCAGTGTAGTCACTGACCCTGAGGACTCAGGCCTGTGGAGAGGTGAATGCTTAATAAACATTTGCTTCATAGGTGTTTTTTCAGTTGTAAAATATGTGAAACGTAAAATTTATCATTTTAACTATTTTTAAGTGTACCGTTAAGTGGCATTATGTATATTCACATTGACTGTGCAGCCAGCACCACTCTCTTATCTCCTGAATGCTCCTTAAGTCTTAATTTTTATTGGCATCCTAAACCCCAGGCCTAATTTCACTCCCCTACTTTAGGCAGCCAGCTCCATTAAGGCAGTTGGTAACTGTAAAAAACACCTATCGTTTGCCAGGCAACGAATGAAACAGATGAGGTTTCTGCTCTCCCTGCTTTTGTAGTCAGGGCAGACTCTAGTGACTGGAAAAGAAGCACCAGGTAACTATTGATGTCTTAAAACCAAAGATGCTCTTGAACTTATAGATCTACTAGTACCATCATTCTCTCAGTCATATGTTCAATAAATGTTTGTTGAATATCTACTTTGTGCCAGATGCAGTAAGTATTAATGTTTGGTGAATGAATGAATAGGCATAGCTCCTTGACCCAGACTTTTCCTTTTCTCCAGAGGTCGTCATCTGGGAGTGGTTGGAACTGTGCCTGACTCAGAGAAGGTTTTGGAAGTGCTAGTCCATAGCTGTGTCACCTTAGATAAGTCCCTTTCCTTGCATGGGCCTCAGTTTCCTGGATCCCATGGGGGATCCATATATTAAACAAATAGAAGACAATGTTAAGAGATTGCATAACAGGTGTCAGAGAAGGCCTCCCTGAAGAGGTGACATTTAATCTGATACTCGAAGGATGAGGAGGGGTTATACAGGGGGAGGGTAAGGTGGGAGTGGATCCAAGGAGAGGAATTCTCTACAGGGAGATCAGCATATTCTAAATTCCTGAAAGTTCCAGCTCTGTTAGATTTGGCATTGAGTGCTTAGTCCAGAAATTCTTCTCAAACCCCTTGCTGTTCAGGTGCAGTATTTCACAGGGCTCCGAATAGTCCTGCACAAACCTGGCCTCTGGACTGAGAGAACAGGCAGACCCAGAATGGCAGGGGTTAGCAGAACTACTACCCCTCCTTCTCCTGTCCATGTTCTGTGTTGACTGAGAGTAAACAAGAATAGGGCCTTCAAGTCCCAGATTTTACTCCTTTATGCTTTTACTTTTTCTTTGGATTAAGAGGCATCATGACAGAGTGGTCTTGAGAGGGCTCAAGAGTGGTTGGAATCTCTGGGTGCCTTTGGTCAGGTTTAGCTATCTTTGCTAAGCCTTTGTGTCCTCAAAAATGGAAATAATAATAGCTTTTACTTCATAGGATCATTCTGAAGACATAGAAACTAAGGCATTTGCAATGTTTAGAAGAACTGGGTGGCTCAGTAAGGAAAAATGTTAGCTTGGGTTATGATATTGGGATTTAAGTAAGAGTACAGTGGTTTGGCATATAAAAAATCTAGAAACTTTTGTATCTATATGGGTAACTTTAGTTTAATCAAAATTAGATGAGTTATTGTACTATGAGGTTTTTGAAAAACCAAATAGGCCAAATTCTTATTAAAAATGAAAAATAGTTTGTACCCTGGTAATTTCTAGCCCTTTTGACTTACTGTAGGTGTGATCAGCATTGGAAAAGATGCCTGCCCCAGGTACCACATATGAAAGAGTAGTTTACAAAAATCCGTCTGAGTACCACTACATGAAAATCTGCCTGTAAGTTTAGTTTCCTAAGATCTTTTTTAGATTACTTTTTAAAAGGAGGCTGAATAGCATGAAATTTAGTACAATGTCTATTTTAATGTTATCTTACAGAGAATTTCAAGATCATGGAGTTGGCCTGAATGCTGCACAGTTCAAACAGCTGCTAATTTCAGCCCTGAAGGACCTTTTTGGAGAGGTATGGAATCATTTGGTAGACTGAACATTCCTAAGGTCTTTGTAAATAATACAGAAAGAATGCTTCCCAAACATTATTTTAAAACTATTTGAAATTGCAGAAGCAGACTTTCAGAAATGGCGAATTTTTGGTAGGTTTGTTCTAATATGTCTTCTACTTAACAAGGAACTTGTTAGACAAATGTTTGTTTTAGCACAGTGCTACTCAAAGTATGATCTAGACTGGCAACCTGCAAACTGGTTTTCTGCCCATCTTGAAGAGATAAGGGGTTTGCACCAGAACCAGCATACCACCTGTTTTAGTGAAAAAGTCCCCTAATGAAAAAAGGGTGAGCTGAACCAAATAGTATGCTTAGTGGTATTGTTGATTTACATTCTTAGTCAACTCCTTGTTTTATCATAGACCACTTTGAGCAGCTTTGTCCTACCACCCACTGAGAGTAGGCGTAGAGTATTGGAAGTTGAGAGAGAACAAAGAGGATTCTCAGGAGATTATTTCCTGATTCATATAATCTGTCTAATCAAAAGCTGCTAAGCACCAAAATTTAACTTTTACTCTGCAAAAGTCTCTGTTAAGAGGATGAAAAGACAAATTACAGACTGGGAGAAAATATTTGCAAACCACATATCTGACAAAGGACTAATACCTAAAATATATAAAGAACTCTCAAGTCTCAATAGTAACAAAACAATCTAATTAGAAAGTGGGCAAAAAAACACTAATAGACATGTCACTAAAGATGTACAGTTGGCAAAGAAGCACATGAAAAGATGTTTAACAACGTTAGCCATTAGGGAAATGCACATTAATAACAAAATGTGCATTGGAATCAGATATCATGCACCTACAAGAATGACTGAAATAAAAAATAGTGATCCCCCTAAATGCTGGCAAGAATGTAGAAAAACTGGATCACTTATACACTGCAGTGGCTATGTAAAATGGCGCAGGCAGTCTGGAACATAGTGTGGTGGCATCTTTAAAAAAGTATACATATACCTGCCATATAACCCAGCAGTAGCATTCTTGGACGTTTATCCCAGAGAAATGAAAATTTACATTCATAGAAAAACCTGTACACAGATATTTGTAACGACTTTATTTATAATAACTAAAATGTGCAAACATCCCAAATATCCTTAATTGGGTGAATAATTAAACTGTGTTACATTCATACCATGGAATATAGAATATATTCAACAGTAAAAAGGAATGACCTGTTGATTTACACAACTTGAATGAATCTCCAGAGAATTATGGTAAATGAAAAAAGCCAGTCCCAAAAGCTTACATACTGGGTGGTTCCATTTATATAATGCTCTTATTTTTTTCCCAACACTACAGTCTATTAAGAGAGCCCCTAGTGCATTTATTTTATTTTATTTATTTATTTTTTATTTTAGCATATTATGGGGGTATAAGTGTTAAGGTTACATATATTGCCCATGCCCCCCTCCACCCTCCAGTAAGAGCTTCAAGCGTGTCCATCCCCCAACCGTTGTACATCTTACTCATATCGTTGTATATACCCGTCCCCTACTCCCTACTCCCTACTCCCACCCTCCCGACACCCGATAAATGTTACTCCTATATGTCCACTTAGGTGTTGATCCGTTAATACCAATTTGCTGGTGAGTACATGTGGTGCTGGTTTTTCCATTCCTGAGATACTTCACTTAGTAGAATGGGTTCCAGCTCTATCCAGGAATATACAAGAGGTGCTATATCACCGTTGTTTCTTAAAGCTGAGTAGTACTCCATGGTATACATATAGCACATTTTATTAATCCACTCATAAATTGATGGGCACTTGGGTTGTTTCCACAGCTTTGCAATTGTGAATTGTGCTGCTATAAACATTCGAGTTCAGGTGTCTTTTTCATAAAGTGACTTGATCTTTTGGGTAGATGCCCAGTAGTGGAATTGCTGGATCAAGTGGTAGATCTACTTGTATTGCTTTGAGGAAATCTCCATATTGCTTTCCACAAGGTTGAACTAGTTTGCAGTCCCACCAGCAGTGTAGGAGTGTTCCTCTCTCTCTGCATCCACAAGCATTTTGTTTGGGACTTGTTTATAAAGCCATTCTCACTGGAGTTAGTGATATCTCATTGTGGTTTTGATTTGCATTTCCTGATGTTAGAGATGTTGAACATTTTTTCATATGTTTGTGCCCATTATTCTGTCTTCTTTTGAGAAGTTTCTGTTCATGTCCTGTGCCCATTTTTTGATAGGGTTGTTTGATTTTTTCTTGCTGATTTTCCTGAGTTCTAAATAGATTTAGTTATCAGCCCTTTATCAGATGTTTAGCTTGTGAAAATTTTTCACCATTCTGTGGTTGTCTGTTTGCCCTCCTGACAGTTCTTTGCTGTGCAGAACCTTTTAAATTTGATCAGGTCCATTTTGTTATTTTTGTTGCTGTTGTGATTGCCTTTGGGGTCTCTTCATAAATTCTTTGCCTAGGCCAATGTGCAGAAGGATACTTTCAACATTTTCCTCCAGAATTCTAATAGTTTCAAACCCTAGGTTCAGTCTGTTCCCGAGGCGGAATTGATTTTTGTTGGAGTGAAGGTGGGTCTTGTTTCATTCTTCTACTGTGCTATCCAGTTTTCCCAGCACAGTGTGTATTGAATAGGATCTTTTCCCAGTGTATGTTTGTGTCGTTTTCGAAATTAGTTGGCTATATGCAGATGGTTATATCTGGTTCTCTGTTCTGTTCCAACTGGTTCAAGGTCCCTTGGTTCTTGTGCCAGTCCCAGCTTTTTAATGATAACTACTTGTATTAGTTGTGAAGTCTGGTAAAGTTTTGATACCCACTATTTATTTAGGATTCCTAGGTTGATTTTGCTATCCGAGATCTTCTCTGGTTCCATACGAAGCGCAAAATTATTTTTTCTATATCTTTGAAAAATGATGATGGTATTTTGATAGGGATTGCATTGACTCTGTAGGTCACTTTGGGTAGTATAGACATTTTAAGAATGTTGATTCTGCTGACCCATGAGCATGGTATATTCTTCCATCTGTTTACGTCCTCTGCTATTTCCTTCTTCAGTGTTTCATAATTCTCCCTGTAGAGGTCTTTTACCTCCTTAGTTAAATATATTCCAAGGTACTTTATTTTGTTTGTTGCTATTTTGAAGGGAATTGAGTCTTTGATTTGGTTCTCACTTGTACTGTTGTTGGTGTATATGAATGCCTCTGATTTTCTGTGTATTGAGTTTGTATCCTGAGACTTTACTAAATTCATTTATCAGTTCAAGGAGTCTCTTTGTTGAATCCTTGGGGTTTTCTAGGTATAATATCATGTCATCAGCAAAGAGTGAGAGTTTGATCTCTTCTGCTCCCATTTGGACACCCTTAATTCCGCTCTCTTGTCTGATTTTGTTGTAGCAAGGACTTCCAGCACTATGTTGAACAGAAGTGGAGATAGTGGGCAACC